GTATTTATTATTGATGCATTTGGAAAAATACTAACATCAACTGGCATAAATACAGATAAAATCTAAAAAACAGTTGAAAATGTGTAAATAAATAAAAAAACATTTATAGCATAGGTTCTCAAACTGGGGTCAACAAGCCATATTTTAGCGGTCTTCAAAAAATTTCAATAAAATGTTAATTTGTTCCTTATTTTAAAGAATGCATTAGGGGAACAATGCACTAGTAAAACAAACATACTAAACCAAACAAAATATATTCCCATGGGAATTTAGGGGTTAAAATCACATTATTCTATATTATTTTTAAACAGCATGGGGTTTAWGAGGGGGTACCTGGAAATGTTTTACTCTTGCAAGGGGTCCCCAGACCCAAAAAGTTTGACAACCCCTGATTTATAGTATCAAAACATGCAATAAACAAGCCCTCAATATTTTTCTTCTTTCACACGTATCCATTGAAATTGCTGAACAGTTTTCAGTTAGCACTTAAGTACAAGTTGGGGGTGACTTTCAGCTACTACCTCAAMCCCAATATCTGTAAAACTGTCTTGAGTCAAAGCTGTATTTTAGGGKTATTTAGCCGTGAAGGCCATTACAAATCATCATAATTGGTATTAAAATGAYCAAACGTTGGGAAAAAAAGGACGTTTCTCATAATTATTTAATCACACATACATTTACATCATGCAGTCAGTCCAAAACCGTGATCTCATTAATCTCCCGTCCACATCAGAGCCCTCTTTGTGCCCCAGTTCTCCAGGAATGATCCAGTACCGTTTCCAATGACGGACCCCCTCCCCCCTCCCTCCCACCACAACACACAAAAACTGTCCATTAAAAACTGACCAACTATTACACAGTAATAAAAAACAAAAACAAAAAAGGCTACAATTTGTGTTTTTAATTTAGGCAAACACCATAAGTATCCATTTACTATTTTTTTTTTAATTTACCTCCATCTCATATCCAGTTTTTGGTGGAAGGTCAAAGGTTAAATGTTTGAGGTTCACGTCTTAAATAATGACACAAAGAGAAACACGCTGTCCTGTCGGAGACACAGGGGGAGCTCTGTCCAAAGGGCCTCAACTAGAACCACGTATGGAGTGTTTTTTATTCCACAGTGCAGATATCGTGAAGAAGAAGTGCTTTTGAAATGGACCGTCCTGTTAGCTAAATACTGCATTGTGTGATAGAGGCTCCTTTAATCCTGTTTTTCTGCTTCTACTGAACAAAATGAAGGAGGGGGAGAACATGTAGTTTCTGCTTTTCAGAAAGATGCCTTCAATAAGAAAAAATAATGAAATAAAAAAAACACAAAAAGCTCAGAGAGGAGAGGAGAGGTGTGGCAGATGTGACTTGTCTTCAGTGTATTTTACAATATATTGCACTTTTACACACGATGTTAGTGTTTCCATGCTGGGGTCACTCCCTCACACATAAACTGGGGCTTGGATGTGTTGAGGGGAAAACAAAAGATAAAATAAAATAAAATAAACAGAACAATAAATCTTACATCCCCTGGTTAGATTCAGGTGGATAAAACCCTTCATCCACATGAGAACAGAACATTAATGTGCAATTTTAGACCCTGCTCTCTCTGATTGGTCGATCAGAAGCAGAARAGGGTCCGACACCCCCACCCATAGAGCCGAAAACAGAACATCTACAAAAGAAAACCCAGAAAAAAAAAAACAAACAACAAGAACAGAGAGGGGAGGGGAGGGAGTCGAGAAGAAACGAGGCACCCTTGAGCAGAAACGGTGACGTGGAGGGGATCAAACGGTACCCGGCGGGTCAGGTTCTGGATCTGCGGGGTGAAATGAGCGACAGGAGCCCGGCTCGACTAGGACCGGACAGGACAGCCGTAACGCCTGCAGACCGCGTTGCTCGCCATGTGCAGAGAGATATAAATAGCATCTATTAAACACAGCATTATTCTTAAACCACGTAGAGAAGTAAAAACATTTAGCAACGTAGCCGCGAGCTAAAAAAAAAGGAAGTTTGTCGCGTTAGCCGGATCGCTCTCATCGCTCCTCTTCATCCTTCCTACATTCTTCACTTCCTGCTCCCGACGACGACTTTCAACTCAAAAAAGGTACTCAATGCAAAACGTGAAATTTGACATTTCAAAATGAAACTCTGAAACGCGGGTCTGCGCTCAACGTAAACAAAGCCAAACCTGGTGAAACCTTAAGTCTGGCTGTGTAGATTAAAAACAATAAAATAATAAAATAATAACGTCTGTTAGGTTTGATCTGTTGTCAGTCACTGTGGCTGTTTGAGAGAAAAAAAAGATTTTTGTGTTTTGATTTTCACAACGTTGCAGTGAGTACCTTTAAAGATAAAAACCTCCACAGGTTTTTAGTTAAATACATCTACAGTACACAGTATTTTATTTATTTACTTTTATTTGTATCCTTCTCTTCAGGCCCTTTCCTGCATTATTTTTTTTTCCTCTTATCGGAGAACCGTGTGCAGTTGTGCCAATCTTACATCTGTACAACAAGACTGGACAGAACAGTAGTGCTCGACACCTTCTACTTAATTCAAAACCTTACAGATTTTTTCTTTTTTTTGTGTTTTTTTTCTTTAAGAAGCATGTAAAACCTATTCAGAGAAAAACGTGGTTAACAACCAATAATAATAATGAAATGTACAGAAGTTAGCCTATAGTGTCGAGCTAGTTTTTGTGTCTTCTCTTGTTTTGTTTTGTTTTTTGGTCTTTATTTTCATTTATATATATATTTATTTATATATTTGTTTCTTCTGATCTTGCTGTCGTTACATTCAGCTTGGCACAGTGAAGAGCTACTCGCACAAAGACGACAGATGACAACAGACTGTGCAAAAAAAAAAAAAAAAAACGAACCGAAGCTGGACATTCGAATAGCGCTAAAGGCGACTGCGTTTGGTTCTGTGAATAAGAGTTTTTCTGTTTTTTTTTTCCTTTTTAAATGTGAATTAAAAACTGCTCTTTTGATTATTTATTCTATCCCGTAGATAAAGAGATAATTGAGAAGAGGGGCGGGGCGGGTGGAGGTGTAGGAGCTGTACAGGCTGGGAATAGTTACACATATATATTTATATTCAGAAACTCCTTCATGGCTCCGGAGCGGCGGCGGCAGCGGCGGCGGTGAGGAGCCTGGCTGCTGTAATGGAATGACAGGTGGTCTGGGTGGGCGAYGTCGGCTTCTTCTGTGGTGTCATTCGTCTGGCCGCTGCTCTTCAGCTGGAAATTAAAAGTTAAATTTAAAAAGGCTCAGATTTATAATAAGCTGATAATAAACTGGTCTCTCTCAAYCGTCCCGCTGCAGGGAAAAATTTAAATTTACTTCCACTTTTCATTATTTCTGCACACTCACTTCTTGTCAGGCTTGCTGCCCCCTCCCCTGATAGACACCGTCTGGCTGTTCTGGTAGAAACCCCCTCCGCTGCGGTTGACGTTGGGGTGGGTGGGAGACGCCACGGGCTGCTGTCCGGGTCGGATGGGTTTGGCTGGCGGAGGAAGATGAAACGTTTGTGGTGAGTATTGGATTAAACTGATGAGGACAGAAATGCTTCCTCTCGTCTTACGGACCGATCTGAGCCGAGTGGCCCCTCCTGGCCATGTTCTTGGCCCTGACGGCCTCTTTGATGCGGTCCACCTCCTGCTGGTAGCGCTTGCGGTCGCGGGCGGCGTTCTCCTTTGCTTCCTTCAGTGCAGATTCCAGCGCCTTGACCCGCTCAGCCGTAGCACGAAGGCGCTTCTCCAGTTTAGGAAGCTCACAGCGAAGGTCTGCATTGTCACGAACCAGCTGAGCAGGAAGAGAAACCGTTACATTGTTTCATTTTTCAGAACGGCCAGGAGCAAAACACAGTTTGAACGATGAAAGCTGAGAGGATTTCCATTCAACGAAGAGGATCAAACTTAGCTGTTAAAAGCTAAAACAAACAGAACATTAGCTAAAGCTAAAGGATGCTAGCTAAAAATAGCAAATGGTTGATTACAAGTTAAAAGTAGCAGAAAATAGCTTTAAGAAGCAAAATGCTAAAAGCAGCAGAAAGGTAGCTAAAAGTAGCAGAATGGTAGCTAAAAGTAGCAGAATGGTAGCTAAAAGTCAAAGCAGCAGAATGGTAGTTAAATGCTAAAGTAGCAGAACAGTAGCTAAAAGCTAAAGTAGCAGAACAGTAGCTAAAAGCTAAAGTAGCAGAACAGTAGCTAAAAGCCAACATACCAGAATGGAAAATAAAAAGTTAAAAGCAACAGAATGGTAGCTAAAAGCCAAAGCAGCAGAATGGTAGCTAAAATTCAAAGTATGGGAATGGTAGCTAAAAGCTAAATGCAACAGAATGGTAGCTAAAATTCAAAGTAGCAGAATGATAGCTAAAAGCAGCAGAATTGTAGCTAAAATTCAAAGTAGCAGAATGGTAGCTAAAAGCTAAATGCAACAGAATGGTAGCTAAATTTCAAAGTAGCAGAATGATAGCTAAAAGCTAAAGTAGCAGAATGGTAGCTAAAAGTAGCAGAATGGTAGCTAAAAGTCAAAGCAGCAGAATGGTAGCTAAATGCTAAAGTAGCAGAACAGTAGCTAAATGCTAAAGTAGCAGAACAGTAGCTAAATGCTAAAGTAGCAGAACGGTAGCTAAAAAGCTAAAGTAGCAGAACGGTAGCTAAAAGCCAACATAGCAGAATGGAAAATAAAAAGTTTAAAGCAACAGAATGGTAGCTAAAAGCCAAAACAGCAGAATGGTAGCTAAAACTAAACATAGCAAATGGTAGCTAATAGCCAAAGCAGCAGAATCGTAGCTAAAATTCAAAGTAGCAGAATGGTAGCTAAAAGCTAAAGTAGCAGAATGGTAGCTAAAAGCTGAAGTAGCAGAATGGTAGCTAAAAGTCAAAGTAGCAGAATGATAGCTAAAAGTCAAAGTAGCAGAATGGTAGCTAAAAGCTAAAAGCAGCAGAATGGTAGCTAAAAGCTAAAGTAGCAGAATGGTAGCTAAAAGCTAAAAGCTAAAAGCAGCAGAATGGTAGCTAAAAGCAGCAGATCCGTCAGTTCAAATTTAACAGTAAACCTAAGAAGATAAAAGCAAAGCCAGTTTGCTGAAGCAGGTTTAAAACAGAAAATGTCTTTGAAAGAATTCAGACAAACTCAATTATTATTAAAGGAGAAAATGTTTGTAAATAAAGTTAAATGAATGAATGAGCCAAATGTTTTGATATATGAACAGCTACAATAGCTGAAAGTTTGCAGAAGTGGGTGAATTTCAAAAACAAAAAGAACAGAAAACAAAGATGTGGATGCTGAATCAGAGTTTAAACAACAGAAAGGTTAAAAGCTAAGAAAAGAGCTTCTGAGGAACATCAGACACCTGGTAACCGTGACAACTGAGAGGCTGAACTCACCTGTTTGTGAACCTTGGTGAGTTGCTCAAGATTGTTCTCAAGAAAGGAGATTTTCTGTTTCTGCGCGGCGCTGCCTCCTGTGTCGTCTGAATCCATTTCAGCACTCTGTATACAAAACATGATTTACAGGCTCAGATATAAGAGAGTGAATCCAGTTTGTAACTCATCAGTAACGTTTCAAGGTTCTAATATCAGATTCTGGAGGAAACATTTGCTTTAACTGACCTTTTTCACTCTGGTGGCCAGGTCCTGAACAAAGAGTTTCCTCAGGTTGTGTAGAGTCTGGAGCTCCTTGGCCTGGAAGAAAGAAAACATCCTGTTTAAATCACCTCCTTTAAAGCCAAACCTAGATTCTTTACGTGGTGTTTATTAAAGATGAAGTCTTCTCAGGGTCTGAACAGGTTTCATTTCATCTAATAAATCAGGTGAATGAAACAGAAACTCAGATTTAAGCCACACAGACAACAGATGAACGCACCACTGTCTCTTCCAGCCCCTTCAGGTCCTGTCTGGCCTGCTCCCTCCTGTCCTGCATCACCCTGAGAAACAACAAACACATGTTGAGTGTGTGGACAACAGACGGACCTGTGAGCGGCGCACACCAGCATCAGAAACCTACGTGAGCTCATGCAGCTTGCGGCTCTTCTCCTGGTCGGTGGATCGCAGCTTCTCGTGCTCCACTCTGAGCCTCTCCTGCTCTAGCATGATCTTCTGGTTCAAACTGGAGGAAACGAGTCACAAATTATAAGAGGGTGAGTTTACGCAGTCAGTTTGGTTTATTTGTTCTTAAACGTGATCTGGTTCAGTTTCTGATCTTTATCATCAAGACTTGGGAGCAACGAGGCGGATTTAGAGTCTTACTCCTGCAGCTCCGTGATGAGTTTCTCCTTATTGTCCAACTCGTCTCTCAGGCTGCTGATCTGCTTCTGGTGAGCCTCGCGGTGGGAGTGGATCTGCTTCTCCACCGCCTCCTGAAAACAAATCATCAGTTTTAGGATTACACTATTATTTAATCAAAGGATAAACCAGATTATCTTCACATTAAATGACAAATATTTGAGCAAACCTTGACTTCGTTGGCAGTTTGGATCTCGTTTTCTTTCTCCATGGCATGAACTTTCTCTGTGAAACAAATGTGGGATTGACCATTAGATTAGAAACGGAGTTGTAAAGTAACTAAGTACAAATACTTCTTTACTGTACTTAAGTAGAATATTTGGGTATCTGTACTTTACTTGAGTAATTATTTTTCAGCCTACTTTTTACTTCTACTTGTTACATTTTCACACAGTTATCTTTCTACTCCTTACATTAAAAAAAGGCAATAAGTAAAAAGTCGTTACTTTTATTTAATTTTCTTGTTTTCATTCCAGCTTGTTATTGTAAAAAAATAAATACTACCCATATAACTTGTGCCTCCTAGATAGAGTGAATTTAATTGTGGTTGAATGAGAAGTATAAATATATAAAATTTGGATACCGTGTTCAAAAGTAGAGGAGGTATTTGTATTTCATGAATTATATTATTACATTTGGCTGCAGCCTTCAGATAAATGTTCATTTTGGGTAAAAGGTTTGTGCAGCCTTGATATATGTATATAAACTGAAACAGTTAGACTAGTGCATCCTAAATTTAATATAAATTCATTATTTTAATACATCAGTCATTTCTGCAGTTTTTGGGGAGGTCACCTCCTAATAAATGTACTTACAGAAAATCTAACTGCTCATTTTAAATCTATACTTTTACTTTTAATACTTAAGTACAAAACATATCAGCTCCTTTAAAGAGGGAATATCATGTAAAATCAACTTTTTTGAGTTTTATATCATGTTATACTCTCATAAAAACATGCCCAAAGCCTTGCTTTGAATCATTCATCCATGTTTGAGAAATCCTGCAGCGTTTTTATGAAGCCATGCTGAGGAGCAAAACGACAGGTGGGGACCAGAAACACCTTTTGGTACCAGAAACGGTCCTGGGACGTG